AATGGAGAGGCAGTGGGGATAATTACTTCTTTATTAATTAGGTCTTATATAATAAGTTTTAGTCCTTAAAGTCTCCGTCTTACCCTACACTGGGCCATATTAAGTATTTTAACTGGGGCTATATGGGGCTCCCATTCTACCAAGCCAATTTGTAAATGTCAACGGCCAAATTTAATTTTAATTTACTACTCATTGTGCTAGAGGGTCTATATCCAATATGGGATATTTTAGGGCAATGGATACCATGACTATGGAAAATTGAGGCAAGGCTATATAAAGTGAGGTGTACCTACTTTACTCCATTTTATATTTAGTTACTTTTGTAAGATTATAGGGAATACAATGTTTAAATTTAGTGGGATCCCCAGCTATGGCTGTAATTCAAGGCCAAGCATCAAGACCATGAAGCTTTGTCAAATGGTGCATTTTAGCAGATATTAAAGTTAATTTAGAACCTATTGAGGCACAAAAGCCAATCAGTGCCCCTTTTATCTTTTTTGTTATATAAATTCTTTTAGTAAATTTTTCATTTATAATCGAGTCAAATTATGGAGCTTTATACACACACACATATATAAAATTCAGTTGTTTACTTTTTATTCTCTACCCTCTATCTAGGTTGGTTTGTGGGTTTTTTTGAGGAAGATGAGCCCTGAGCTAACATCCGTGCCCATCTTCCACTACTTTACATGTGGGAAGCCTGCCACAGCAGGGCTTGACAAGCGGCACCATGTCCACACCTGGGATCAGAACCAGCGAACCCCAGGTTGCCAAAGCAGAACATGTGAACTTAACTGCTGAGCCACTGGGCCAGCCCCTGTTCATTTGTCTTTTTTTCTTTTTCTTTCCCTTTTTTTGTTTATCTGTTCATTCATTTTAGGCTATTAGCTTCCTGAGTCCATGGCTAATAACACTGTGTGGACACGCTGGGTGATCACAGCAGAAGCAGGGGAGAGGAAGAGCGCCCTTTTCTCTCTCCAAGGCTCCCCATCCACCTCCCAGGGATTGAGGGATTGAGGCACTCAGAGGCTATCACAACCTCTTCTTGGGATAGTGCATTTAGCCCCTGGTCTGAAGTACAAGTCCCTTTTCATTGTCTTTTTGGATAAAATCTTTTAGAATGGCTTATATCTCTAGGCAGGTGAAAATTCTAGTTTCTGTTTTAGTCTTTTGTATGTCCCAAACTATTTTGACTCTTTGAGTGTTTATCAGGTAAACTCTTTGTGATCCCAAGTGGTCCTGTCTGTAGGTGGTGGCCTCCCTCTCCAGGATGTCCCAAGTCACCTCTGAGGGCTCTAGATCCACTTCCAGGAGAGCCACAGTGGCCTTATCTGTATTTTGAGGCTCCAGGTTTTGAGCATAATGTCCTTAGCTGGTAAGCTGCTACGCTCAGAAAGGCCCATGAGAGTTGTCCAGGGTTTTACGTTCCTGAATCAATGGCACGACTTCCCTGTCAGGGGTCTTAGGCAAGGTAGGAATAGTGTCCTCTCCTTTCCTTTTTCATTAAGCTTTGTGTCACCAGTCTCCATTCATGTAGTCCCTCCTACCTCACTGGGTCAGGCAGCTAGACAGACAACAAAATAACAATCGTGACCTTTATCACAGGACCTGTGTGACGCCCTGGTCACTGGGATGCCCTCACATTGACCCCATGAATGGCTCAAGACAGAGCAGTCTCACGTAGTCTCCTAGCATAGTGTGGAACAGGCCAAAGAAAACGACTCTGTTACAGAATACAATGACTCTATTGGCCCCACTACTCGTCAGTCTTGCCGGGTGGGCTGTTCAGACCCATCCCACGGCACTTGGATGGGGTTACCCCTCACTCCCTTCAGGAGTCTTTCAACAATCAAAAGTAGCCAATTAATTAGAGCTGCCCCCAGGTGCTCTGTCCTGGACACTGGACACCTTGACTTAGACAGAAATGTGGGGAGGACTCTGTTTCCAAGTTCCATAGTTAGTGGCAGAGATTCACAGCGACACTTGGTAGAGGCAACGAAAAGCAGCTGTGACCACAGCACCAACATGCCAGGAAGCAGTGCCCCTGCCCACGTTGCTGCTGCCATCTAGAAGAGCCTGTTAGTAAGTCAAGAGCAGTCTAGCAGCATGTCATTCAGTGTGGGACCACACCACCCTAATTACTGGGACAAATTGTTTCAATGGGCTTTATTTTTATTTAGATATGGTAAAGCCAACAGATCAGGAGACAAGTGCCACTGAAAGGAGCTAATTTTACTCAAAGTTCCCAGGAGAGGGAATACACATTATTTGGGGGCAGAAGAGTAGAGGACCAAGAAGGACTGAGATGGAGATCAAGAGGCAGAGGGAGGAACTGTGAGCAAAAGCCTTCATGGTAGTTTCCTGGGGAATGAATGGATGAGGTGGGGCAAATGGTGTGTGGGAGGAGTTTAGGATTGGTTGGTTTGCATAATTTCAGTGGGCTCAAGGACACAGTGCTGTCCCTGGCTGGCTGGTACCTGGCCCCTGGGTGATCAGGGCAAGTGCCTTGTCACCCAGAGTGTGAGAGCCTGATAAAGGAGGTGGCTGGGGATGTGGATTTAATTGGCTACTCATGAAGGGGAACTGACTTGCTTCTAGCCAGAGCCTCAAAACTAAGTCGAGAAAGCACTTATAAAAACTATAAGAATCCATTAGTCTTGCAATTTTTTCCACCATGAGCTCTGTAGTGGGTTGAATAGTGTCCTCCCCTGAATTCACGTCCACCTGCAACCTCAGAGTATGATCTTATTTGGAAATAGGATCTTTGAAGATGCAATTATGATGCCATACTGGATCAGAGTGGGCACCATAGCCAATGACTTATCCTTATAGGAAGAGGCCACACAGAGGGAAGAAGACCATATGAAGATGGAGGCAGAGATCGAGGCATGCAGCTACAACCTAAGGAATACCAAGGATTACCAGAAGCTAGGAAGAGGCAAGGAAGGAATTTTCCCTGGAGCCTTTGGAGGACAACTGGTAGCCCTGGCAACCACTTGATTTCAGACTTCTGGCCTCCAGAACTGTGAGATAATAATTTATCAAGTTTGTGGTACTTTATAACGGCAGCCCTAGGAAACTAATACAGATTTTGATACCACAAAGTACGGTACGCCTGTAACGAATACTTTAAAATGTAGAATGTGGTTTTGGAATTGGGTAATGGATAGAGGTTGGAAGAATTTTGAGGCACATGAGAGAAAAAGCCTAGAATCTCTTGAAGAGGTGGTTGGTAGAAGTAAATACAGACGTTAAAGGTAATTCTGGTAAAAGCTAAAAAGGAAGTGAGGAGCACTGTAGGAAATGCTTCTCTCCTCTGAGACACTAGATACATTGTGAACAGAATGTGAGCAGAAACATGGATGTTAAAGCTGCTCCTAATGAGGACTTAGAAGCAAATGAGGAACACGTTCTTGGACCCTGGAGGAAAAGCAATCCTTGTTATAAAACGGTAGAGAATTTGGCTAAATTGTGTTGGAGTAAAAGTAGAACTTGGAAGCAATGAACTTGGGTACTTAACTGAGATTTCCAAGCGGAGCGCTGCAAGCACAGCTGTTTCTCCTTGATGCTCATAGTAAAATATAAGAGGAAAGAAGTAAAGTGAGGAAGGGACAGTCGAGCAAAAGGGAGCCTTCTCCGTCCCCTGCCCTCCTCCGCACCCTGGGGTGTGTGGGAGGAGTCAGGCAGGGGTGGCCGTCCCCTTCGGAGTTTGACGATAAATTTTGAATATTTAAATACTTATAATACTATTCACATCTATAATGTATAGGGTATCTAATATAATCAATAAGTTACTGACAGAGAAAACTAATCATGTGATGAAAACTGACGCTTAGATCAAAAGACAGAACAATGACGCCCAGAGTTTCTCCGGCCTTAGTTACTCCAGGTTTAAATGGAAAGAAACACCCAATTAGACCTGAGTCGTTCTGCCGGCGAGAAGCCAAAATTCTGTTAAATATTTCCAACTTTAAGGAAAAGAAAGTGCCGGTTGTTCCCATACCGGGAGTCGAACCCGGGCCGCCTGGGTGAAAACCAGGAATCCTAACCGCTAGACCATATGGGAACCGCTAGGTGGCCTGTCGCTTGTCTGCATACCCATCGTCCGCGTCAGCGTTCCCATACAGCAGCTGCGCCCACAGGCGCGCTCCGCCCCCGCGGAAGTTCCTCCCGATTTGCTGCTGCTTCAATGCCGGGGACCCCTTCCCCCAACCGGGCCTCGGCGGGGACACCCGGGCCTCTCCTGCTCCGGGAAGTCTCCAAATCGCCAGTGCCAGGCGGGTTGCTGAGCAGATTCGGGAAAGGCCACGCTGAAACCCGAAGTGAAGCCTTAAAGGAAGGAAGGCTATTGCTCGACCTTGACATCTAAAATAAAGGGCCGGAGTTCCACCTGAATCTCTGCCGCGAAAAGCAAAAAGGGAATGTGTTCTGTTTTACACTTTTTGGCTTCAAAATCTCCCTGGTTGGTACTTTGTTGATCGCAGGATTTTGCTCTGAAATTCACCCTTTGTGGGGAAGGCTGTCCTTTTTTCCTCCAGTCACGGGGTTTCCCTTTAAGAGCTTCCATTAGGCTTGTCACTGACAACTCGAGCTAACGTGTCAAAGAAAATGGATTCCCCCAATCCAGCCGCAAATCTGCCCTACTGCGACCGAAGTATATGTTAAAGTCTCCAGAATCACAATAGTGTAGTACCTGTGTGTTTACTGACAGTAAGATCAATGAGACAGAATGGAAGCTGCAAAAAAGGGCACGGTATACACTGGGATTAAGCAAACGGCAAAGGTGGCATCTCAAACCTGCGGTAAGGGTGGACCTGTGGTAGAAAAGACGAAGGTGCAGGCGAGACTCACGTCATACCTCATCTGAGACCACCAAAGTTCTGGAGGAAACACTCAAGAATTCCCTTACCACATTGAGTACCACCCCAAATCCAGAAATCATCAAACAGCTGATTGATAAATTCAACTCTGCTAAGAACATTGACTAAAACCCCCAAGAGCCAGGTGACGGTGCCTTGCACATGCATTAAGCTCTTCAACTGCTCTGTGCAGTTCCGTGGAATGTTTTATTTTACAATAAAAAGTTGATTTTACAGTAAAAATAAAACCACCATAAGCAAAGGTAAAAGACAAACTGGGAAAAAATATTTACATCTCATATTATGAACAAAGGAGTAATTTCCCCCAAACATAAAGATTAGCTCCTAGAAACTGCTAAAAATACCAACAACTCAGTAGGAAAGGAAGCAAGCACACAGAGTTCCCACAACAGGAAACACAATTGGCCCTTCAACAAATTAAAAGAGGCTCAGTCACTCCTGGAAAGATAAAAGCGGGTTTTTAAAAACCTGAAAGGTCGCTTCGAGTTCCCTTGAAAAGCTACGTCAGATCTTTTTTACCTTCTGGCTTAAAAGCTGCCAAAGGCCACCCATCTACTCAGGCGTTTGTGCTTTCACTTCTGCGGAATCATGCTGTCCTGATGTTAGCCATGTATGGTTTTCCTCCAAAGTCTGTTCTGAGTGTCTGGTGAAACGGCAGGGCTACTTCTTGCGCTTCCCTGCCACTGCCCGTGCGGGAGCTCATCCTGTAAGGCAACCACATCTGCCTCATCCAGGAGCTTGTTCTACCTGTTCACAAAGAACTACCAACCGAACAGCTCTGTACCAGCACCACGTGTCCTAGCGGAACACAAGCCTAGAGGTGGTTTCACAGTAGTGACTTTCAACATTACTGAGTTTGCCTCTTTAAACTTTCACACCTAACAAAGTTGGCAACATGCAGACCAGAGAAATTCTACGGAGGGAGGATTTTCTGGGGTGGGAGTGGGTGCAGAGGAAATCTGTGAAGGACGAAGGCCTGAGATGAGGCAGCCAAGTGGAAGAACAGCTGTGCTCACTGCCCTGCCTCTGTGGTCACAGGCTGGGCAGCCCCTGGCTCGAGCTGCTTGAGTTTCTCCTGGAGCCCCCGGAGCTGGCTTCGACCCCAGTCAACCCGGATCTGAAGGGTGGCCATGTCTGCAGCCAGCTGCAGGCCTAGAGGAAAAGGAGAGATTGTCAACATGGTATCTGAGTTGTGAGACAGGACTCAGGGGGCTCTGGACATCCCCAGACATTGGAAAGGCTCCAGGCCTCTCTAGTCTGTACTATTCCTAAAATATTTCAGGTACAGCCTTGCATTGAACCTCACTGGACCCACAGCCTCACCTCTTTGCTAAAATGTCATCTCCTAAGAAAACTTTGATTCTCCCTTCTATCACCCACCAGGAACTAAAAACTCACAGATCGTGACACTGTCTCCTGTGCTTGTTTCCTTCCTTTTTCTCTCCATGATCACAGTCCCTCACTACTCTCACCCCCTCTCCTTCTACTGTCTTCTCTGCCCCCAAGAGTGGTCCACACCCTGGATCCACCTCTAGGTGGCTTTTGCCTGATGCCTCTGCTGGAACGGCTACTGTCAAGTCCTCTGGGCCCTCCACGCTGCCCAATCCACTAGCTAGTCCCATCTTCAGCTTACCTGCCTGGCAGCAGAGCTGGCCACATGTCTGATCACCCCCCTCCAGGAAACACTGTCGCCTCTTGGCTTCTGGGACACCTCACCCTCTGGGTGCTGCTGCTGCCTCACTGCTGCTTCTCAGGCGCCTCAACTGGCTTCTCCCCTTCCACTTCCTCACCTCCTGTCCAGTCCTAGGCCCTCTGCTGATCTTATCCCATCTGAGCTTTAATGCCGTATCTGTGTTGGCAACTTGGGAATTTAAACACCAGTGTTATGTGGTGGGCTCCCAAATCTGTGTCTCTAGCCCAGGCCTCTTCCAAACTCCAGATGCATGTGGCCAACCACCTGCTCAGCATCTCCACCACACAGCACTAGGAGCACAGGACACCCAACTCCTGACTTCCCCTCTGCTGCTGCTGTGCAGCCTTCCCACACCAGGCGAGGGCCGCTCCATCCCAGGCGAGGGCCGCTCCATCCTCCCAGGCGGTCTGGCTGGAGACTATGGGCTCATCCTTCACTCCTCTCCTTTTCTTACTCCCAAATTGATCTGTCAGCAAATCCTGTGGCTTCAACTCTCAAAATGTGCAGGTTCCCACCACTTACCCCTCCACCACTGCCTCCACCTGTCTCTCACACCTGCCTGCTCCCTGGCACCTGCTTCTTCCTTCTGTTCTCGTCTTTTTCCAGCCAGCACCCACAGGAATCCTGTCACTTTGCAAGTCCAACTGGAGCTCCCTCTGCTCAGAGCTACCCCATCACTCCCAAGTCCTCATCAGGGCCTACCTAGCCCTCAAATCACCTGGGCCCAGCCCCCTCTGACCTCAGCTCCTGGCACTCCCCACTGCCCCAACTCCAGTCCAGCCCAGTGGCCTCCTCTCTGGCATGCCAGACATAATCTCACCTTAGGGCTTTTGCCCTGGCTGGTCCATCTGCCAGAACACCATTCCCCCAGATCACCCACAAAGCTCTCTCCTCCATCTCTTCAGAGAGGCCTTTCCAGGCCATGCTTCATAAAATAGTTCCCTCAGCCCACTGCATCCACCACACCTTATCTTATCTTCTCATAACAATTCTCTACCTGGCATTATATTTAGAGCCTACTTATTTATTTGCATGTTCTCTTTCTCCCCTCAATAAACATTCCATGAGGAGTGTTTATCCTTCTTATTTCCAGTTGTAACCCCAGCACCTAGCATGAACCTGGAACACTGCCAAGAACCAATAAATGTAAATGCTCTTTGAAAAAACAGCAGGTGTGCAACACAAGTCTGCAACAGAGAAAATCTGCAAAAGCCCTTTGCAGACTAACCCCAGCCCTGGCATTAGTGCTCAAGTTCTCCCTGTAGATAAAGGGTCTAAATTTGGCTCAGGGCCACAATGCAGACTGGCAGGGTCTACTCACCCTCCCGGAAGCTGGCTTGGGCCTGTCGCAAACTGTGAGGAACCAGGATTCCAAACCAGTTCAGAGGGTCCCGGGGGGCTTGGGAGGACTCCAGCTCTGCGGTCCTGGTGAGACCCTTGCGCCTGCGCAGACCTGGAGAAAGAAAGGTCCTAGGCTGGGGGTCTTATTACCTGGCCCTTGTGTTCTCAGTGACAACGTTGAACTTGATCTGAGCTCATGATCCTGGAAAATACTGATGGTTGGGAAACACCGACTACCTTTTGTTTCAGAAAACAGCTTACCACAAAGAATCACCCTTCCCCTTGCGATTCACATGCGAGTTTCTGTCCACTCTTTCTCATGACTCTTATAATACCAGCAGACGACCCCCTTGTTTACCTGTGACATAGCCACACACTGACCTTTCCCATTTTGCCTGAATATGGTGAAAGGTCAGACAGACCCTCCTCCTCCCTGTTGTCCCATGAATGAATGAGAGTAGAAGTCTGTCTTGAAACTAGCTAGACAAAGAGAAACATTTTCTGTTCAGCTCAGACTTCCCCTGATTGTAAAGCAATCCAAGTGTGAAAGCCCTCACTATAAACTTGTCTGTGTTTCCCTATAAAACTCCAAGGCAACAGACCACCCTGGGGAGACATTCCCATCTTCAGATCCGCGGCGTTCCCTCTATCGCAAGAGCCCGAATAAAATCATGTCAGTTGTCCCGTGCGTTCCGTCTCTCACATTGGGAAAGGGCCTGACGGGAAGAATGGGGGCTCACCTGCCTCGCGGGGCCCCACCTCCTCTGGAGTCTGGGCGCCGGCTCTCGCCACCCAGAACCTCTGGAGTCCGTCCTGGGCCTCGCTGAAGAACAAGAGAGGGGATGGACCTTTGGCCGCCCGCTGGACCCCGCCCGCCTACCCGCTCCAGCATGCAAGGCTCCTCACCCGGTGCACACGCAGACCTGCGGCTCCATGCGGGAGGCGTACTGCAGGGGCCCCACGGCCTTGGCGCCCATGGCGTAACGAGCTTGGGAGAGCGCGAGCCAGCCCTGCGGACAGAGGGGAGCGGACGCCCCGTGAGACCCCGCGCGCGCCGCCGCCGCCACCCGACGCCACCCGCCGCCCGCGCCCACCTGCTCCACGCGGGCGTTCAGCGCTGCGCGCTTGGCCTCCAGGTCCTCCAGGTCCCCGAGCAGCTGCAGCAGCCGCGAGTCCAGCTCGGCGCGCAGCTCCGCGGCCGCCATGGCCCCGCTGCGGCCCGAGCCCGCCTCCTTCGGGTCGCCCGGCCCCGCCCACCGGGCCGGCGGTGAGGCTGCGGGAGGCCGAGGCGCTTCTGGAAGCGGCCGCGCTGAAAAAGTGGGGCCGTCGCTGCGGCGACGGCAGGAGGCGGAGCTGCACGGCCGCCGCTTTAAGGGAGGAGCGGCTTTAACGTTAATTCCGGACGGAGCCGGCGGGCGGCCCTGCGGTCAGTCATTGCGCTGCTTTTGCTGTCGCTGGACCGTTTCGAGCAGCCAGTTATGATTCTTTTAGCCGCTCGTCGTTACACTGGGCGCCCTGCCGGGGGAGCTGGCGGTGAAGCCTCGGCTGACGTCTGTCCTAACGGCTGTCGTAAGCCAAGTGACGACATCTTAACCCGCAGCCTATTGGTTGCTCCAGTGGGCGTGTGCTTCCGGACTGGACGGTGGCCTTGCGACTCCCACCCACGGTTCGCCATCTTAACGTTGGGCACTCTCCAGGGCAGCAAAGCCTCGTGAAGCTGCTGGAGATCCTGTTGGTTGAGGGCAGCAGCAAGGGCTGCGCTGCGCCGGCGCGGCGCTCAGAGTCGGCTGGAGCCACGTGGGAGCGGTGTTCAGTATGGTAGGGGAGAGGCTCGAGCCCCGGTCTTGGAGGTGGGGGGCTTGCGTTGGGCTGGGGCTGGTCTCTGGGCTCTGGGCGGGTGGTGCCCCGGCGTGCGTGGCGAAAGAGGGGCTGAGCAGACCGCCGTTCCGCAGCTGCGCCGGGAGGCCCGCCTTCGCCGCGAGTACCTGTACCGCAAGGCCCGCGAGGAGGCGCAGCGCGCCGCGCACGAGCGGAAGGAGAAGCTGCGGCGCGCGCTCGAAGGTAGGCCGGCCCCGCCACCCCCCAGGCCGTCGGGGAGCCCCGCGGAGGGAAGCGCGGGGCGCTGGCCGCGTGGTCGGGTTCGCGCTCCTCTTCGGCGGCCCGCGAGTCGGATCCGGCGCCGACCCAGCGCCGCTCGTCAAGCCGCGCTGCGGCGGCGTCCCGCGGAGAATGGACGGGGACGGGCGCAGATGTCAGCTCAGCCACAGTCTTCCTCAAGCAGGAGGAGGAGGATTGGCAGTATTCCTCACCAAAAACGCGTTGAATTAGCGTTTCTTTGTGTTAGTGTGGCTGAACTTCTTTTCACGTTTTCAGGTTTTCCTGTTGGTTTGCAGATGTCCCTCCATTTGATGATGTGAATTACTTCCCATTTATGTTGCAGTGTTCAGATTTTACAGTTTGTGTGTTAATTTTGTTTACAGTTTGTCTAGTTCTTCCCAAATTTTAAATTTTTACAGTGGTCCTATAGATTGTTTTCCTCTCCTGGTTTTTCTTCTTGTTACCTTCTTCAATACAAGGTAGCAAGAATGTTTTACTGTCTTTTAGGGCTAATAGGATTCCCTTGCACTTTTAAACTGTTAGCCCTGTAGAGGTAAATTTTATTCGCGTCGTAAATTAGGAATCTGACTTTGCAATATTTTCCCCAGTTTTCATTTGCCTTACTAATGACGAGTGTGTCACACATGCCTGATTGGAAATGCCATATTTATCACTATTATGTTGGATCCTCTGTCAGTGGAGCATTGTTCCTATCTGATGGCACATAAACGCGATACCTCTGATTATTTTAAATTCACTTAATGTTCCCAGGTTTTAAATACATAAAATGTATGTGGCATGTGTGTACATGTTTATGTTAAGCATAATGTTAAACACTTGTGACCTATCTGCCCACTTTAAGAAATGAAAAATGATCAACATACTGAAATTCAGGAATATTTTCCGCAACTTAGATAAGCACTGTATTGAATATTGTTTAAAAATAACCTATTTCCTTGTTTTTCTTTGTGCTTGTGTCATACTTGTTTGCATCCCTAAATCGTATTGGTTAATTTTTAGTTTAAATGTAGTATTGGGTTATATGCATTATTTTGCAACTTTCTCTTATGGTTCAGCTTTGTTTCTGAGAGCCATTGAGTGTAATGGGGAGATCCCTCAGGTGAATATTCCACAGTCTTAATCCATTCCCCTGTTGGTGGTGTTGAGCTTATTCTTAGTTTGGGGGAATTAGGAACGGCACTGCTGCTATGAACATTCTCTTCTATGTGCAAGAGTTCCTCCAGGGCATATTGGAGAGAAGTGCTGGATCCAAGGGCATGCTCCTGTTCAGCTCTATACTCCGAAGTCAGCATACCCACAGCCCCAACACCTGTGCTAGGTCCACTTTAGTTCACAGAGGAAACCTCTGACCTGGAGCGTCATGATTAATGGTTTTGTTAGAGGATTTCATGATTTCTGATCCACTTCATACAGAAAGAGAAATCTCTATTTGTTCTCTTTTTTTTTTTGGAAGAACACTAGCCCTGAACTAACATCTGCTGCCAATTGTCCTCTTTTTGCTGAGGAAGACTGGCCCTGAGCTAACACTCTGTGCCCATCTTCCTCCACTTTATATGTGGGATGCCTACCACAGCATGGCTTGCCAAGTGATGCTGTGTCCACACCTGGGATCTGAACCAGCGAACCCTGGGCCGCCAAAGCAGAACGTGTGCACTCAACCGCTGCGCTACCGGGCCGGCCCCTCTATTTATTCTTTTAAAAATTAGTTTGTTAACTTTTTTTGTAACTACAAAAGCAATACATATTTGTGATTAAGTATCTTAGAAAGTCCTCAAGCCATAGGGCTCAGGAACCGTAGAAAATAAAGTCTCTTGTAACCACTGTTAACAGATTGGCATATAGACAGAAATAGTTTTGTCGTCCCTCCCCCCTTCACTGCCCAGTAATCACGTATCACCTCTCTGCTTAGAAAGGAGAGAGAAGGGTATTTTTCCACTGTTAAAAAACAAAACCCAGCTGAGTAACTTTTAAAGATCTCATTGGCTTTATTCAGTGATTCATGAATCGGGCAGCATCCCATCCAGCAGATAGAAAGGAGCTCCGAGGAGCTGGACAAAATGAAAGACTTAGAGGCAGAAGAGGACAAGACAGGGGAGTTACACGAGACAAAAACATGGATTGGCTGTGGCAAGGTCACTTGCCTTTGGGGGGTGGCAGGGGTCCATCAGGCAGATGCCCTCACTAGTGCTGACCAGGCGGTTCCTGGCTGGCTGGTTTAAGAGTCCATTTCTGGGAGAGCCAAAATTGTAATTAAGTGTCGGTTTGGTGATGTGGAGCTTAGCATAAGTGACTCCATTTGGGGCCTGTGTCCTGTTTTTAACACATCAGGTTTGTACAGGTTTGTAACCCGCAGTGCTGTCTAAGCTCAGGGCTCCGCGCGTCTCTCACTCAGCCTCTGTCTTCTCCTGCAGAGAACCGCCTGATTCCCACCGAGTTGCGCCGGGAGGCTCTAGCGCTGCAGGGCTCGCTGGAGTTTGACGATGCTGGTGGTGAAGGTGACCTTCCTCCACACTGTGGGCCAACTCCTCTACCTGCCCTCAAGTCCGCTGGCCTCTACGTCCTTCCTCAGATCCCTTGAGGACAGGCTCTGTGGCTCCTGCTCCTGCAGCTGTCCTGCGGGTGCCAGCATGGTTCTGCACAGGTGGCACCTCAGGAGAGCTCTCCCTGAGTGCTCACAATCCATTTATGATGCACATAGTTTTACCCCACTTACTCTCTGCTTTGCTTCATCTCTTGATTGTCCCCCTCACTAGAATGTGAGCTCTGCCAGGGCAGGACAGTGTCCATTTTGTTCACTGCCATGTCCCCAGTTCCCAGCACTTCATTGGCAGCCAGTTGTTTCATTCATTGCATTATTCGATGAATATGAAAGGGGTGACAAACATATAAGTATTTATGAGAGAAAGGGGTCTGTTACCTTTGGCCTTAACAGAATCTGGACTTGTGCTAACATGATAGCCTCTAGCCCATGTGATTAATACAGCTTGAATGAGCTAAACTTAAATCACATGTAAACATTCAGTTCCTCGTTTGCGCTTGTACTTACAGCCAGTCTGGCTGGCAGCCACCTTGTTGCCCATTCTGGGTATGGAGCGTTTCCATCGGTGAAGGTACTGGCAGACGTTGCTGCCCCCAACTTAGTATGTCACTTTCCAAGACAGTGTCGGCTTGCCCCTCATGCTCCTGACAGGTGTGACCAACCACGTGGATGACGAATATCGATGGGCAGGGGTCGAGGATCCCAAGATCATGATCACTACCTCCCGTGACCCCAGTTCACGCCTCAAGATGTTTGCAAAGGTACCAGTAGCGGGGAGTGAGTGGGAGATGCTCAGATGCCCGTGGCCCCAGTTCTAACTGGAGTATGTTTATGTGCAGGAGCTGAAGTTGATTTTCCCAGGAGCCCAGCGCATGAACCGTGGCCGACATGAGGTAGGGGCATTGGTGCGAGCCTGCAAAGCTAATGGGGTCACCGACCTGCTGGTTGTCCACGAGCATCGAGGCACACCTGGTAAGGCTGGTGTCGGGGAGCAGGGTGTCTGCCAGGGTGGTCGTCTGAGAGGAGACAGGGTCTCTGACGGCCTTCCTGGCCCCACCAGTGGGGTTCATCGTTAGCCACCTGCCCTTCGGCCCCACTGCTTACTTCACACTGTGCAATGTGGTCATGCGGCATGACATCCCCGACCTGGGCACTGTGTCAGAGGCCAAGCCTCATCTCATCATGCATGGCTTCTCTTCCCGCCTGGGCAAGCGGGTGAGTCTGGGGCCACTGGGTGAGGGCTGGGGGCAGGGGGTGCCAAGCCGGGCATTTTTCCCCACTCTCCTTCCCTCTGCCACAGGTCTCTGACATACTCCGTTACCTCTTCCCTGTGCCCAAAGATGACAGCCACCGGGTTATCACATTTGCGAACCAGGATGACTATATCTCCTTCCGGTGGGTCTGTGGGCTGGCCCCGGGATGCCTTCCTGACCTTTGTGCTGTTGCTGACCGCAGCTGCTCCCTGCCTCCCCTTGCCTCAGGCACCACGTGTACAGGAAGACTGACCACCGCAACGTGGAGCTGACCGAAGTCGGGCCTCGCTTTGAGCTCAAGTGTGAGTTTGGGGCTTTATCCCATGATACAGTGGGCGTGGTGGGGGAATGCTGGCTGTGTAGGTGACAGCGTCCCTGTCCCCTTCCCCCAGTGTACATGATCCGCCTGGGCACCCTGGAACAGGAGGCCACAGCAGACGTGGAGTGGCGCTGGCATCCCTACACCAACACCGCACGCAAGAGGGTCTTCCTGAGTGCCCAGTGAGCCTCCTGCTGGTCAGGACGTGGACCCGGACCCAGGACTGAAGGGGTTAGAATAAAGTCTGTGTGCCACACCACCCCTTTTGCCTCTTAGTGGTCCAGTCAGGCCTGTTGTCTGGCTGAACGTGAAGACCAATGTCCATGGGGTCTCCTCAGGTGGGGACCTGCCAGCTCTGGGACGTTCTCAGGCCTGGTGTCGCCATTGTGTCTAGGACCAGGCAGGCCCCACATGCTGGCTTGCCCTTAGCCATAGGGAGGGTTTGGTGCTACCCCTGAGAGATTTGGTGCTGTTGTCATCATCTGGGATGGGTACATTTGCAGGGCATGTCACATTTGCTCTGAGCAACTGTGAGACTTGGGGGCCTGACACAGAGAAGGCAGGACCCGCTCCGTGCTCAGCAGGATCCTTCAGTCCGCCTCAGGCACACCTTAAGTCCATTGATTGAGGACACGGTGACGCTTTAGGGACCGCCTGCTGCACACAGCTTCAGCTCTCTCGTCAAGGCAGGGTTTATCTGAAGTCACACAGGGAGAGCCACGGCTGCCCAGGAGAGGCTGAGCTCTCCCCTTGGCTCCATACTCATCCCCTTTGCCCTCTCTCTCTCCCCACTTTCCTATGTACCCAAGGGCCCTGGTTTTACACAGAATGGGTGTCAAGACCCTACAGAATGGAGACAAGTTGACGTGGAGTAGAGTGATGATGATAAGAAAGAAATCCATCACACTGGGTGGGACAGGCCTATGAAGAAACAAGGCAGGCAGGGGGATGGAGAATGGGGAGGCATCTGCAGGTGCCCTGAGGGCTACATGATGGCAGAAAGATGCAGGGGCCACCTGGATGACCCATGCAAAGACCCTGAGGTGGACAGTGCTCATAAGGATTCCAGGAACAGGAGTGGCCTAGTAAGAGGCTGTCCTCAGGGAGAGCAGGGGACCCGCAGGACCCACTGGGCCACAGCATTCAGAGAGCAGGGGATAGGCCTTCATGGGACGTCTGTGACTTAGGGTCCCAATCCTGTGAATCCAGTTCCTTCTGCAGCACCTTCCAGGGCCTCTCCCAGCTTGACAAATGAAGAACGTGCAATTAACGTTTTTTTGTAAGTTATGGAAATTCCAAAATACATACAAAAATACAGTAGTATGATGTTCTGTGTTAGTTTCCTTGGGCTGCCACAACAAATTGCCACAAACTGAGTGCCTTAATACAACAGACATTTATTCTCTCACAGTTCAGGAGGCCAGAAATGGAAGATTAAGGTGTCAGTTCCCCCAACCCCTCCTCCGTTCCTTGCCTCTTCCAGTTTCTGGTCTGCCAACAATCCTTGGTGTTCCTTGGCTTGTAACTGCATTACTCTGGTCGCTGCTTTTCTCTTCATGTGGCCTTCCTCTCCGGTCTGTCAAGTCTCTGTATGTCTCTTAGGACACTTGTTGCTAGATTTGTGGCCCATCAGAAAATACAGGATGACCTCTTCATTTCAAGGTGCTAAACTTAATCACATCGGCAAAGTCCTTATTTTCCAAATAAGATCATGTTCACAGGCTCCAGGGATTGGGCTATGGACACGTGTGTTGGGGGCCACCATTCATCCAACTGCGTGTCCCCATCCAGAAGGTGAGCCTCAGTCAGTGTGGGTGCTCCTGCCCTTCCTGTTTTGGGTACCTCCTACATACACTTATCACAGGCATGATGAGGATGACCCCTTGCTGACCAAGCATCTTCCCAGGTGAGCTCCACGAGGCCTAAGGCTCTCTCTGCTGCTTCCCCAGCACAGAGCAGGCCCTTAGTCACTCATGTTTTGTTTTTTAATAATGTGAGCACATAAGTCTCACTTAGAGCAGGGCCTGGCACTGGGGGCCAGCTCTTAGCCAGAGACAGACAGAAAATAAGCAAGATGTGAACCATTTATTATTCAGTTCACATCCTCTGTGCTGAAGAAGCCTGTGAGTATAATTCTCTGAAGTTCCTCAGAGAACCCAGCACATCAGGCATATCTGCCGTGGAGGGCATGATTGAAGGACAGTTGTGTCCACGTTTTGCTCATCAGCTGTGTTTAGCTGTTGGGGTGGGTGGTATCTACTGTTTGTGGCGCTCTGGGGAAACAGGATACCGTGCTGGTGGAAGAATCTGTGGGTTAAGGCTTTGCAGATGGCAGTTTGGCAGGGTTTTTTAACATTTAAAATGTGGTTCTACTTGAGTCACCATCCTAGGATCAGAAGTGGTTGCTGGGATGCTGCTGGGGACGGCTTGGGCACAGCTTTGTCTGCATGTTTGAGCAAGTTGGGAAAATGTCCTCTGGCACAGAGAACGTCCTGAGGACTCGCGGGAAGCCTTGGACTAGAGGGGCGGTGCAGTGCTAAAGGGCTATTGGTGCATCTGCTGTTTGACTTTTCTAGGAAGAAATCAGTCAGTACTTGTGTAACTGTAAATTGTAAAGGACAGGGAGGAGACGGACGTGGACCTGGTCCCTTGTGCTCAGTGCGAGCAGCTCCAGGCAGAGCGCGGCAGCCCCGGGAGAAGCCTGCATCGCCGCTGCACCTGAGTCTCGTGCTCTAGGATTCTCCTCAGTACTCAGAAATGCTGACAAGTGGGGAATCCACGTGAAGGGCATGTGGGAGATCTGTGCAGTATTTTTGCAGCTTTTATATAAACGTGACATTATTTCAAAATAAAGCATTATTGAAGTTTTAAAGGAATTGTTAATCTTGTTGGGTGACTCGGCATTAGGATTACTTTAGGAAACGTCTTTAGGTGTTAGAGCTATGGTGAAGTATTTGGGTGTGAAATAGCAGCCTGGTACTTGAAAATGCTTCAGCAGATGGGGAAAAAAGTTGCTGGAGCAAAATACTAACTGTCAGATTTAGGTGATGTAGACGGGTTTTGTTGTAATATTCTACTTTGATGTGTGTTTTACATTTCTCGTAATAGAGGATTAAAAGGAAAATAATTACAAATGCCTTCCATTGTTATGAAAGAGGCTTTCATATTTCTGTTTCGTTTTAAATTATTAAAAACCTTCAAATAAAAAGATCTAGAAGACGACATACCAACCGTCAATGGTGATTCAAAGCCATTTACAGTTAAGGCCGAAGGATGATGGAGAAGTTTATTCCACATCTGTGTATTTGAAATTTTTAGCAGAGAATATATCCATTTTTTACTTACACAAAAAAGTAAAACTTTAAGCACCAGACGAAGTGCATTTTAGGCTCAGGTCCATGAACCAGGCTGCACTGAACATCTTGCCCACTACCCTTTGTTTTTTTCTTAGGGTACATTCCTAGAAATGAAATTTCTGATCGAAGGAGATGTACAAGTCTAAGCCTTTTGCTGTTTACTACAGAAAGTTTGAGGCAAGAGACCATTTTTATCTATCAGATTGACAAAGATGAAAAATTCGAATATGGTTGGTAAGGATATGGGGGGTTGGGGTTTTGTATGTAATAGGTGCAGAACTTTGGAGGTAAATTTTGTAATATCCCCAGAAGTAATAATATGCCTCTCTCCTCAGTCCAGTAGACAGATGTGCAATCCAGATGTGCCTCACATGGACACTCCAACTTGTGGACAGTAGTGGCAGTGCCAGGATCTGTACTGTTTGTAGCAGCAAAAGCGGGGGAACAGCCTAGCTGTTGACTAACAGGACTGCAGGTCCCTACATTAGGAGGCATCCACGGAGTGGAACACTGTAGTCATTGAAAAGAACCTCAAGATAGAGTATTAAATAAAAGGAAGTGTGGTGTGAAGCACTATCTGTGATACGTTCCCGCCGTGCAGAAGAAAGGAGAGGAGGGCCCACGCTCACGTGTGGACTGCATTCTTTCCGGAGGGGTGCACATGCCGCCGCTGGTGCCTTGGGGTAGGGAACGGGTACACCCGGATCCAGGCAGCAGGGAGACTTCAATGCTAGTGTGGGTAAACGCTTCATTTACTTGTTGACCATTTTTGAGAGCTGCCTTCTGGGTTCTCTGCTCATTTTTCTTTGGAGTGCAGGGGAGGCACTTGGATATTGTTTGTTGGCTTTCAAGAGTTTAAAGATGTTGCATCTATTTCTGCAATACAGTCATGCGCCACATAACGACATTTCAGTGAATGACGGACTGCGTATATGGCGGCAGTCCCACAAGATTAGTACCACAGAGCCTAGGTGTGTAGTGGGCTATACCATCTAGGTTTGTGTAAGTGGACACTGATGGTCACACAATGATGAAGTCACCTAACGATTAATTTCTCAGAACATGGCCCCGTCAAGTGACACATGGCTGTACTGCTATTTCAAACGTACAGAAGTAGACCCAGTGACAAATAAATCACCTTCCTTCTCCCCGCATCCTCAGCAGTCCCTCCAGAGGCTACTGACTTTTTAAAAAATCTAGTCAGATATTTTTCTATTCATGGTATTATTTATTTATTTTTTTTAACACAAAAGGGATTGAACTATGCACACCGTTCTGGAACTTGCCATCTTTCCCTGTAGTGATCTCGCTAGGCTACCCCTGGGTTACCAAGGGTACCCTTAGGTTTTCTAGGATATCTCATACATGTGGATCCACCTCCAGTTTAATGGCTGCACATTCAAGTTGTTTCCTATTTTTGCTCCCACAAACATTGCTTCAGACACATCACTGAGCATACCTCTGTGTATAATTATGAAGTGTGTCTGAGGAATAAATTCCTACCAGTGGAATTCTGTCTTTAAAGTGATCATAGATGCTGCTGAATTGTCCTCCGAGCGGCTGTCCATCCCAGCCGCTGTCAGTGGATCTGAGTGCCTGTTTATGTCCTTGCCAGCACTGGGCACTATCAGACTCTTCATCTTCACCAAACTCTAGGTGCAAGATGGTTCCCCAGTGAATTTACATTTCTTTAATCATAATGGAGGTTGTGCACCTTTTGAAATACTTATTGGCCATTTGTGTGTGTGTTTGTTCTCTGTGACCTGTTTGCTCTCTTGATAGAAACGATTGTTTGCCTCTATATTGGTTGATTGTTTTACATCTTTTGTTTTTTTTTTTAAAGATTGGCACCTGAGCTAACATCTGTTGCCAGTCTTCTGTTTTGTTTTGTTTTGTTTTGTTTGTTCTTCTACCCACAGTGCCCGAGTACATAGTTGTATATTCTAGTTGTAGGTCCTTCTGGTTGTGCTAAGTGGGATGCTGCCTCAGTATGGCCTGATGAGCGGTTCTAGGTCCGCACCCAGGATCCGAACCCAGGATCCAAACCGGTGAAGCGCTGGGCCACCCACGAGGAGTGTGTGAACTTAACCACTCGGCCACAGGGCCGGCCCCTGTTTTACATCTTGTGGAAAATTTCACACACACAGGAGCAGAGAGGACTGTACAGTGAGTGCATGAGCCTGTCTCAATGTTGACTGGTCTGGTTTCTTTCGTAGCCCCACTCACTCCCTATATCCACTCATTTATTTTTAAGCAAATCCCAGACACCATACTATTTCATCTATAAATATTTCCATGTATGTCTCTAAAAGATAAGGACCTAGTAAAAATAGGAATACCCCATTATCACACTTAAAAAATCAACAATTACTCCAAATACATTATTTCAAATAGTTACTTAGTGTTCAGTTTTCCCAGATTACAGTATGTTTGTCTGAACTAGGATCTAAATTAGGTCTATTCATTACAAATGATTGACAAGTTTCTCGTCGTCTTTTTTAAAACAGTTTTATAGAGCTAGAATTCACATATCACACAGTTCACCCATTGAAAGTGTACAATTAAATTTTTTTATCATATTTACAAGGTTCTATAATCATTTCCACAACCTAAGTTTAGAACATTCTTGTCCCTCCTAAAAGAAACCCCATACCCATTAGCTGTCACTCCCCATTCTCCTCCAACCATGCCCCCCCACCCTCAGCCCCTTGCACACCACTAATCTCCTTCTGGTCTCTATGTATAGACTTGCCTATTTTGGACTTTTCATATGAATAGAATCATATGGGATGTTTTTGATGGGATTCTCTCAGCGTTATTTCCAAAATTTATCCATGTTGTAGCATGTATCAGTATTTCATTTTTTTAATTGCTGAGTAATATTCCATTGTATACATACCATACTCATAAAATTAGAGTTGTTTCCACTTTGGGGCTATTATGAGTAATATGCTGCTGTGAGCATTTGTGTGTAAGTCCTAAGTCTCTTTCAACCTATGGGATTCTCTCTTTTTTTATTTTTCTTTCTATTTTATTCAATTAGGAAACTGGTTTATTTGTCCTGTGGTTTCCACAGTCTGGATGTTTCTGATCCTGTGGTGTTATTTAACACTTGCCTGTGCCCTTGTATTTCCTCTGAATTAATATCTAGAACTAGATGTACAGATACAGTTTTAAACTTTTTTGGTAGAAATGCTTGATGAAGTGGTGTGTTCTCTCACCAGGAGGGTCATAATGTCTGGATGTCATTTTTGTGATGTTAGCAGACATTAATATCATTGCTTAGTTCCATTAATTCACTAGCGATGTGAAACTTGGTGCCTGTTTTTCAAGAAATCAATATGAAATCTGTTTGGCATTCGAGTTTCAAATTCATTATTGCTGGTATATAGGAAAGTGATATTTGTGTGATGTGTGTGTATTATATTTTAACTAGATACCTTATTAAATTTTCTTCTAAGTTCTTACAGTTTTTCATAAGATTTTCTAGAACTTTCCAGCTGACTATGCCATATGCCAGTTACAGTGTTTTTGACAGACCCCTCTTCTTTTTTCCTTGCCACAGTGCATTGGCTAGGACTTCAGAACACCCAACAGCAGCAGGTGTTCTGGTGAGATGCCCTCTGCCCTCAGTCTCATTACAGGAATACTCCCAGAGATATTAATGCTTACCCAGACACCGATGTGCACTTACTTCTCTCTGGTTTTACAGTTGAGTGGCAGAAGCCGATGCAGACAGTTCCATACCTCCCTTTGGCTGTTGTGATGCCCTTGACTTGCATTCAGTACCCACAACAGGGCCCTGAGCTGTGCAGGATCCCAGCCAGCCTAAGCTTAAAAGAATGTGGCCAGTTGGTCTTTTCCAAATAAAGCACCACACACACAGGTGTGCTTATGCCGAGCTAAAATTGGGTATGGAAACTGCAAGCCAAGGATGCAAGGCAGCCTAAAAGAGGCCCCACTATGCTACCAACATCACTGTCGGAGCATTTGTTTGCCTGGAGCTCACAGGAGCCTGAGCTGTTAGCTCAGAGCCCAAGGCTGAGTTTATTTCCTCCAAAGGCACGTTCTAGCATCTGGAGCTTGCTCTGCGCGATGGCAATGCCCAGGCTGTGCTCTGCAAGATGTGGGGCCAGCCAGGGGACAAGCTGGTATGAACATTTTAAGGATGTCATTTTTTTCTGAGTTCCCAACTTGTTTTTTTCCTAAGATTGGCCCTGAGCTAACATCTGTTGCCGATCTTCCTTTTTTTTTTTTTCTCCCCAAAGACCCAGTACATAGTTGTATATCCTAGTTGTAGGTCATTCTAGTTCTATGTGGGATGCCACCACAACATGAGCGGTATGTAGGTGCATGCCCAAGATCCAAACCAGGGAACCCTGGGCTGCTGAAGCAGAGCGTGCAAGCTTAACCACTCAGCCACAGGACCGGCCCCAGGATGTCATTTTTTAAAGTTGGGGAAAAGGGCTTTCCCTCTCCCTCCCTGAAGTGGAGCTGCTCCAAGGACACAGCCTTGAGAGAGTTAATGTGGTGTTGAGACCATCTGGACCGTGTACATGACTGAACCCAGGTAAGGCCTCTGTATAAACTTTTAAGATTCTGGTGGGCAGGTGTGGAAATCGACTCGTCTTGCAGCTGCCCAAGACAAGCCTCATATTTCCCTTGTTTATTAAACCTGCCACCTACCAATCTGGAGTGGACTGCCTCATTCTTTGGTCTCTCCTTGCCCTCCGTGTAGAGGGAAGCTGGTTTCAGATTACACTTGGGATGACACCCCTGAGGTTGTCAACCAACACACCGTTGAGGTAGCGTCTGCCAGGTTTCTCCACTGTAAAGTTAGGATTTTCCCCTTTGCAACATCAGCACAGGCTGGGTTCCTCACAGCATTGCAAAAGCTTCCCCAAGCACCCTCCAGCACTCAGTCCATTTGGCTCTTGAGTGGCCAGTTCAGCAAGCACTCCGAGCTCCCAAGCAGGTGGCAGGCTGGCACGTGGCCTGTGGGCATTATGGTGCTCAGGATCTGCAGGAGCAGTGCCAGCTGCTCTTGCTGCACAGGATTTCCACCAGTAGGGTGAACAAGAGGGCCACCAGCAGCAGCGAGTCCCATTTTAGGAACACAGCTTGCAGTCCTCTGGGAGAAGGGAGAAGTGGGCTGGGCCAGGGCTGCTGGAGGAGGTCTTGGGGGTCTGCGTATCCCCCACACCCAGCCTGAGCTGAGTGGAGGACAAGCCTGGAGAGTGTGGATGTTTGGAGAGGCATGGAGGGATGGTCAGTGTCAGGAGGGCAGGCAGCTTAAACAATGAGATGGGGGCATGAGTTGGGGTGGACATGCAGCCAGGACACCCAACCCGGCTGGAAGCACAAGAGATGAACCATAACCTCAGCCACTTGTGTTCATAGGCCATAAGATCTCAGCCAGATAGGCAGAAAAATACCCAGACAGACTTCTAGATGGACAGAATCCTAGGGAGACAAACAGACTCCAGTGGGACAGCCAGACAGACTTCTAGATGGACAGAATCCTAGGGAGACAAACAGACTCCAGTGGGACAGCCAGACAGACTAATGGACAGATTATTGCACAGATGGGAAGATGCCCAGCCAGATATCCAGAAAGACCTGTCGCCAGACATACGGACACTCTCCACTCCAGCCAATTGGAAGGTGACTGCAGCCAACCAAAAGACTACCTAAAGGACAGACAGAAACCCCCAAGTGGACAGTAAGATGTTACCCAAGCGGAAAGACACCCCACCCACCTAGTCAATTAGTCACCCAAACTTTCAGCCTGACAGACTTACCCTCTGCCAGTAAGACAGACCCCAGCCTATGAGAAAGTTAGGCCTTCAGCAGGATGGACAGACAGATCCTTCCTAGTCAGCTGGGTAGACAGACCCTCAAGCCAGGTGAACAGACAGACAGATACATGCCTCCCTCCGCCCCCCGACCCCCCGGCCAAATCAGACAGACCCTAGCTGGACAGAAGATCCCCAGCTAGCCAGACCCTAGTCATCACCAAAGATGATATGGACAGTCCACTGACCCCTCAGTGTTGTCTTTGCTCCCCAGGTACCACCAGTTTCCAGTGACTATTGACCTCTAATGACATCCACTACCACTAGGGTCCACAAAGACCTTTCATGACCCGTCAGAGACTCTTCCCTGTTTACTCTGGTATCCACTCACCCGAATGACTACCATTAGTATCCATGAGTACTAAGGAACTTAAGAGTCTCCATATTTTCTCAGAGATCTCTGATACTTCTGTATCCCACCTGAGTCTCCAACAACCCATGACCATTCATGAAATCTCAGTGATTCCACATTTCACTATCATGCCCTGAGTGGGAGCCCTCAATGACCTTCCCTTCTTTTGACCCTTCAGTTAAAGTAACACTCCAAATCCCAATAGCTCCTCAGTTACTTTCGCTCTCTCTCACTGACCTCCCAAAGACTGCCATTAACATCCACCGACAGTCCCTCATGAACGCCCAAGGAACTCCCACTACCTGCAATGAATTCACTATCAATGTCCATCCTCAGTGAGCACTACTGATCACCTTTGAACTCTCAAAGATGAAACTGATAAACACTGAGTCCACAGTGACCCCCACTAGCCCTCAATAAATGAAACATCCCCACTCAGCCACTTTAAGTGACCCCTGTCACTTAAACCCGGGTCAGCAAACTACAGCCTGCAGCTCACATATACATACATATATATAAATGTGACTCGAAAATTACATGAAATTAAAATTTTAGTGTCCACAGAGTTTTACTGGAACAAAGCCACACGCATTCTTTTACATAGTGCCTATGGCTTCTTTCACACTGCCAAGGCAGAGCTGAGTAGCTGGGTCAGAGACTAGAGACCAAAGCCCTTTAAGAGTTTGCCCATCCCTGCCTCAACACTGATGACAGCCTAATGAATTCAGTCCACAACCTGAACCAATGACCTTGTTGACGCCTCACTGACCGAAAGTACACCTCATCCATTGGTCACACCTCAACGACCTCAAACTAGACTCCCCAGACGACACGCTATCCAAAGAGACCCCACCTCGAAATTCATTCCCTGACTCGGGTGAGTGGTGGGCTAGACCACCTCCCAGGCCGGTCCGCGGCCGGGCCTTTAGGTTCTCTCCTCTCTCCAGCCTTCGCTTGGTAACCCTGGAGCAGCAGTTGTCCTCCAGCCTTTTCCTGTACAGAAGAGAAGCTCTTTAAAAGGGTTGAGAACATCTTGTCTCCTGGAACCTTCTTGCGGGGGCTCAGTTTTCAGTTTCCCGGCAGGTTTCTGCGGGTTGAGACCCTCAAATTAGGACTGGATCTCGGCGCCCCCACCTCCTCCCAGCCTGACCCGGAAAAAGAAGGAAGCTCAGGAAATACAGATACCTAGGCACCCGCTTCCACTCGGTCTTTCTCAAGGCACCGGTGCCCGAGCGTCATTTTTCCCGGCGGCTACCCGCCCTGACTTCCCTCCGACCCCGCACAGCGCGGGACCCCACCCACTCGGGGTCCCCGAGGCAGGAGTTGCAGCTCGATCTCGGCGACCGTCTCCACTCCCAGCTGCCGCGCCAGCCCGGCTCGGACGCCGACCCAGCCTAGCTCCCAGGACACAGGCTGGGAGGCCAGGCGAGCGCGCGCGGCCGTCCACCCAGCGCCGGGCTCGGAGGGAGGCCGGCCCCTGGCGTGAATCCCGGGCCCAAGCGTGAGGAAGCGTCGTGGGGCTGTGCGGACTCAGCCCGCCGGCGCGGCGGCCACAAAAAGGGAAGCGCCCGCAGGGGACCTACTGCCCAGTTACAGCGGGAGAGGACCCAGGCTTCTGGCACCGCCAGGGTCCGGACGCCTGCGGGTGGGGCTGGGATGGGCTCTCAAATGTCATTGGCAGAGGGGCGCGCCGTGCCGGCCGCTGCACGCTTCCATTGGTTGGCGAGACAGGAGGCGGTCCTCCTCCAGCACTGTCTACACTAGCTGAGAGCACCGAGCGCAGCGGCTGAACCTGACCTCGGTGGCCAGCGGCACCATGAGCCGAAGCTTGGATGCGGTGCGGAGCTTCGTGGAGCAGCTGGAGGCGCGGGGCGGACAGGAGGGGGCGATCCTTGCCGGCGAGTTCAGCGTGAGTGGGCGAGTGTAGACGGCGGCGCAGTGCGCTCTGGCTCCTCGCCCTGGCCTGTCCGGACGTCTGTCCTGTGCGCCCTGCTGCGCTTGCCTCTCTCTTGGAGTCTAGCGGCATCTCCTCGCCTCGAGGTCTATTTTTCTCTCCCCCGCACCTCTCTCTGTTGCGCTCTCTCCCTGTCTTCACTGTCTGCCCGCAGAGCCCCAGAGGGCGAAGTCCAGGGCCGGGCTGGGCGGGGCCGAACACACCCTCGGGTCCCCGTGCCCTCGTCGCGCTCAGGACAATCCCGCTGCTGGGCGCCGCGGGGGAGGGCGGACGCCGCAGGCGGGGGCGGGCGCGCCCCTGCGCTCCGGGCGACCCGGCGGTCACCGCTGAGGTCTTGGGGAGGAAGGGGCTGGGAGAAGAGGAACCAGCCGAGGGGTGTGGACACCGGCCTCTCGTCGGCTTTGTGGCTCGGAACAGATTACCCAGCCCCTCTGGCCTCGGTTTCTTTTTGAGTCTAAAGTGGCCTAAGGATTAAATAACTGAGGTGGGTAAAAAAGCGCTTAGCACATCTTGAGCGCTCACTTTGTAGGAGCCTTTGTCGTTAGTTATAAATATTGTAAACATTACAGTGAGGTTGTGTAAGCCATGTCTGAGGAATGATAATGCAGCGTCATAGGCACCACATACTGTGCCTGAGATGTTTTAAATATAGTAACTTTGTAACAAATATAGACATATACTATGCAAGTATGTAAATACAATATATGGTGACATCAAATTTAGAAATATGTGACATAATAAATATATAAAAATAAATTTAATAAATATGATATAAATACTTTATATAATAAATGAGTTTATTTAATCACTAAGTACAATAAAAATAGATAACAGAACCAAACTTATTAAATAATTTTAAGTATAAAATATAGTGAATATGTGAAATTAATATGATTTTAAAGTACAACTTACACAATAAACATTTGACTTAATAAAACAATAAATAAACGTAAATACAGCATATAAAATTGTAGTTTATAAAATAAGGAGTTATTCAATAAGTTCCTAAGTAAATATAAAATGTGTAACGAATAGGTAAAAGTACTACAATATAAATCTAATTTACGCAAATATAAAAATAGATCTTTTATGTAAGAAATGTATAATAAATGCAAAATATATCATTTATTCAATATGAAAATGTATATAATACCCAGGTGGTATATAATGTCATGCCCATCTGGGTCTTGTCCCGTCTGGGACAGTGAGCCATGCTGAGGACCCCTTATGCCGAAGACTGGGTGGTGAGCAGTGCCTGCACTCACAGGAGTCTAGGCCTCGCTAGGCCTTGTTTTCCTCATCTGTATAGCAGAAATATTAATAGTGGTCCCCACTACACTAGGGTGTCCAGGAGTTTTTAAATGACAGGATGGGCATAAGTAAAGCACTTAGAATGGTGACTCACACCCAGTGGTGGCTTGGTGTTACTTATTATCACCATGACTATGAATAACTGATGATGATGGTAATATACTATTCACTAATTATAATAATCTAACAGTATAAAGTCCTTATAGTATCTTGTTACATAAGTAATGTTATACATTATAATTCATATACATTGTATATTGTCATATATATCTTACCATGTTTGTTATATTAAATACATAATACATTACAATTAGTCTTTACAATACAATGCAATACGGATTGAGTGTACAGAGAGCAGATGCTGAGAGGTCTGAGTGCTACCCTCACTGTGCCCCTTCCGCTTTGGGTGGGACTTTCTGCAAGTCGCTCAACCATGTGGTGCCCCAGCTTTCTCACCTGGCACAATGGGGACTGCAATGATTGAACCCACTTCAGAGGGACCTTGTGATGATTCAGTGCCCTTAACACAGAGCCTGCCACAGAGAAGGCGGTCTGAGGCGCTGTGATCGTTGTATCGTTGCAATTAGCCAGGATTCTCACTTGGCTCCTCTCTCCTCCCGGGTCGCTCACGGGGCCTCCCACCAGGACATTCGGGCCCGCTCAGCCGCCTGGAAGACTGGCAGTGTGTGCTCCACCGAGGCTGGCAGTCGCCCCGAGAACGTGAGAAAGAACCGCTACAAGGATGTGCTGCCATGTAAGTCGGGGGGCTTCCGAGGGAGTCCGTGCGGCGCCGCACACGCCCCCACCCGGTGGCTGTCCAGGGTGGCCATCCACTGCAGCGCTCTCCCTCCCAGACCTCTGCCGTGGCTGCCTTTCTCCCGAGCAGCCCTGGAGTGCAGGTCGGTGGCACCCCTGCGAGGTGTGCCACTCCCCTGCTGGCTTTCATTCAGGAGGCTGTCAGGGCCTTGATGCCCCTGTCATCCCCAAACTCCGTGTTTCTCACCTTGCGCACCGGCAGATGATCAGACAAGAGTGATCCTCTCTCTGCTTCAGGAGGAGGGACACGGCGACTACATCAATGGCAACTTCATCCGGGTCAGGCTGGGAGTCAGGAAAGGGGCGGCTGTGGTGGGGGCAACAGCGGGATCTCGGTAGTGAATTTAGCCTTTACCAGGGCACAGATGGAAGCCCGGCCTACATCGCCACGCAAGGACCCCTGCCTCACACCTTGCTAGACTTCTGGCGCATGGTCTGGGAGTTCGGAGTCAAGGTCAGCTTTCGGGGAGTGTGAGGTGGGGCCAGCCTTCTAAGTCCTTCCTTGGCCCCATTTCTCCCAAACCCAGCCCCAAATCACCTCCCTCTCCCCGGACCCCTCTTGTCTAGGTGATCCTGATGGCATGTCGAGAGACGGAAAATGGGCGGGTAGGTGTCCTCAGCTCCCTAGAATGCCTTTCTTTGTGCAGGGAAGAGGCAGAGGAATCTTGGTAGCTCCTCCCTGAGGCCGGGACTCAAGGGCCGGGTTCTTGGAGCCCCCGCACTGTAGCTTTATTGAAAGCCCACTATTGCTCTCTTTAATTTGCTGTGGATCTTTTTCCTTTTATCCATGCAGGGCCTCCCTCCAGTGCTGGCAACCTCTGCTGCCTGTCTTCGCACCCCATACCACACCACAGGCATAAGGCCCTATGCTGTGGCTTCCCTGGGTCAGCTCTGATCTGTCTCTCCGCCTGTTCCCCTTTATTCTCTCCACTCTAACTACTCTGGCTTTGCTGTTCCTCAGATGCCAGGGATCACTCTGCCCACCTCAGCTGTTCCCTCTGCCTGGGACCTTTTTCTCTTGGCTTGCTCCATCTCTGCCTTCAGGTCTGCTCAAATGCTACTTCCTCAGTGAGACCTTCCTGGATCTCACACCATTTAATACTCCCAGCACTCCTACGCTCCTTCCCTTCTCCTGCTTTGCTTTTTTCTTCACAGTTCTTACCAACTTCTAACATAATCTGCTAATGTATTGTGTACGTTGTTTATTCTGTCTCCCTGACGAAAAGATAAGCTCAATGAGGGCAGGGATCTTTGTTTTTCCTGTTAGCGTTAATTAGTTACTAAATGGATGTCAACACTGAAGGCACAGGGTTTCTGCATCCTGGACTGCCCCACAGACGGAGTTAGGAGTGGGCGAAGTATCGTCCTGGGGGGACTGGCTGATCGTGGAGTCTGCACAGTCTGTACGGATGCCTATTTTTCATTCCAGATTTTGGTAATTTGTGGTCTGTCTGTCCCTCTCTTTCCCACATCAGTCTGGCTAGAGTAAAGATGGGCAAACTTTAGCTTTCATACTAAATCTGTCCTGCTGCCTGTTTTGGTAAATAAGCGTTTCGGAACACAGCCACACACATTTGTTTCCATATTGTCTACACCAGCTTTCAGGCAACCATGTCAGAGTTCAGTAGTTGTAAGTTAGGTAGATTGCATGGCTTGCAAAATCTAAAATATTTATTATCTGGCCCTTTATAGAAAATGTTAGCCAATCTCTGAGCTAGAGGTTTATCAATTTTATTATTTTTTCAAAGAACCAGCTTTGGGTTTTTTCATTTTCTCCATTGTTTTTATTTATTTTCTATTTCATTAATTGCTTCTCTTATCTTTATCATTTCCTTCCTTGTAGTGTTTTAGGTTTTACTTGCTCTTCTTTTTCTAGTTTCTTAAACGTAAATAATTGATTTGAGGTTTTTCTTTTTTCAGATATAAGCACTTAATGTTATTCATTTTTCTCTAAGCCTTGCTTTAGCTGCAACTGACAAACTTGATTTTCAATTAGTTGAAAATATGTTCTAATTTCCCTTGTGATTTCTTCTTTGACCCATGGTATTTTAAAACTCTACAATTAGTGTGTATACAGTTAGGGTTATGTTTCCCCCATGAATCAGTCCCTTTTCCAACATGTAGTGTCCCTCTTTATCTCTCATAATGTTCCTTTTTCTGAAGTGACTTTGATATTAATAGAGCCATTTAAATTTCTCTAGCTTAGAGTGTGCATGATATATCTTTTTCCATTCTTTTGCTATCTGTCTATATTTATCTTTATTTTTAAAGTGTGTTTCTTGTAGGTGGCATATTGTAGGGACCTACTTTTGTATCGAGTCTGACAATCTCTGCCTTTAATTGTGGTATTTAGTCTTTAATGTAACGATCAATAATGATCTAAATCTACTATCTTGCTATTTGTTTTCTTTCTTTCTTTCTCTTTTGGGGAAAGGGTCTTTTTTTTAATTGAAGTACAGTATTATATTAGTTTCAGATGTACAACATAGGGATGCAATATTTTTATACATTATAAATGATGACCACAATATGTTTAGTTACCATGTGACATCATACAAACTTATGACAATATTATTGACTATATTTTCTATGCTGTATATTATATCCTCATGGCTTATTTATTTTATAACTGGAGGTTTGTACCTCTTAATCCTTTTCCCCTATTTTGTCCAACCCCCCAACCCTTTCCTTCTGGCAACCACTAGTTTTTTCTCTGTATGTATGAGTCTATTTCTGTTTTGTTTTGTTATTTTGTTTTGTTTTTTTAGATTCCATATATAAGTGAGATCATATAGTATTTGTCTTTATCTGACTTATTTTGCTTAACATAATGCCCTAAAGAGACATCCATGTTATCATAAATAGCAAGATTTCATTCTTTTTCATGGCTGAGTAGTATTCCGTGTGTGTGTGTGTGTGTGTGTGTGTGTGTGTGTGTGTGTGTGTGCGCGCGCATGCGCGCCACATCTTTATCCATTCATCCATTGATGGGCACTCAGCTTGTTTCCATGTCTTGGCTGTTGTAAATAATGCTGCAATGAACATAGAGGTGCATGGATCTTTTCAAATTAGTGTTTTTGTTTTCTTTGGATAAATACCTAGAAGTAGAATTGCTGGATCATATGGTAGTGCTGTTTCTTTTCTATTTGTTCCATCTGTTCTTTGTTCCTTTCTTCTTCTTTTCTATCTTCTTTCAGATTGAGGATTTTCATGAGTCAGTTTCATAGTCATTATTCACTTATTAGTTAAATAAAATGTGGTAGATCCATTCAATGGAATATGATTCCATTGAATAATAATACCTCTTGGTATTATATGCTTAGTGGTGGGTTTAGGGTTTATAATACATACCTTTAAGTTATCACAGTCTACGTTCAAATAATATTATCCCATTTCATGTACAATATGAGAACTTTACAATAGTCTATTTCAGTTTTCCCTTTCCATGCTTTATGCTATTGTCATACGTTTTAATTCCAAATATAAAATATACTCCACAATACACTGCTATTATTTTTGCTATAGATTATCTGTTTTTTAAAAACAGCTTTATTGAGTTGCAATTCACCCATTTAAAGTGTGCAATTCAACTGTTTTTGGTATATTCCTGAGTTATGCAACTATCACCGCAATAAATTTTAGACTATTTTTATCATTCCATAAAGAAACGCTGTATCCATTAGCAGTCACTCCCCATTTCCCACCAGTCTCCACCCTAACCCTAATCTATTTTTGGTCTCTATAGCTTTGCCTACCCTGGACTTTTCATATAACACAATCATATAGTATGTTGTCTTTTGTGACTGACTTCTTTCACTTAGCATAATGTTTTTAAAGTCCATGTATGTTATAGCATACATCAGTACTTCACTTCCTTTTATTGCTGAATAATATTCTGTTGAATGGCTCTACTACATTTTATTCATTCATTAATCAGTTTCTAGAATTTGAGCTGTTTCCACTTTGGAGCTATCGTGAATAATGCTGCTATGAACCTTCGCATGCAAGTGTTTATGTAGATGTATGTTTTCATTTCTCTTGGGTATACACCTAGAGGTGAAATGGCTGCGTCATATGGTAACTCTATTTTTAACATTTTTGAGGAACTGCCAGACTGTCTTCTGCAGTGACGACATCGTTTTTCATTCCAGCCAGCAATGTATGAGGGTTCCAATTTCTTCACATCCTTATTAACAGTTGTTATTGTCTGGTTTTTTATTACAGCCATCATACTAGGTGTAAAGTGGTATTTCATTATGTCTTTTTTTTTCCAATTGTGGTAAAATATACATAACATAAAATTTGCCATTTTAACTATTTCAAATGCATACCTCAGAAGCATTAAGTACATTCACAATGTTGTACAACCATCACCACTATCTGTTTCCAGAACTTGTTCATCATCCCAAAAAGAAACTCTCTACCCACTTAACAATTACTCCGTATTCCCCCTTTCCCTGCTCCTGGTAGCCTTTATTGTACTTTCTGTCTCTGTTAATTTGCCTATTCTAGGTACCTAGAATCATAAAATACTTGCCCTTTTGTGTCTAGCTTATTTCACTTACAATGTTTTCATGGTTCATCCATGTTGTAGCATGTATCAGAATGTCATTCTTTTTAAGGCTGAATAATATTCCATTGTATGTACACACCACATTTTGTGTATCCATTCATCTGTTAATGGATATTTGGGTTGTTTCTACCTTTTGGCTATTGCGAGTAATGCTGCAATGAGCATTGGTATATGTATCTGTTTTGAGTCCCTGTTTTCAATTCTTGGGAGTATATAGCTAGAAGGAGAATTGCTGAATCATATGGAAATTCTCTGTTTAATTTTTTGTTGTTTTCCACAGTGGCTGCACCATTTTACAGTCTCATCAGCAATGCACAAGGGTTCCACTTTCTCCATACACTCACCAACACTTGTTATTTTCTGTTTTTGTTTTTATTTTTATTTTTATTAGCCATCCTAATGGGTGGGAAGGGGTATCTCATTGTGGTTTTAGTTTGTATTTACCTAATGATGTGAACATCTTTTCATGTGCTTATTTTTCCATTTGTATATCTTCTTTGGACAAATATCTGTTCAGATCCTTTGCCCATTTTTTAATTAGGTTGTCTTTTTATTACTGAGTTGTAAGAATTCTTCTGGATACAAGTCCCTTATCAGTGTATGATTTACAAATATTTTTCCCATTCTGTGGGTCATTTTCTTTTTTAATAATTTTTCTTTTTAAAGATTGGCCCTGAGTTAGCATCTGTTGCCAATCTTCCTCTTTTCTTTTTTTTCCTTCTCCCCAAAGCCCCCCAGTACATAGTTGTATATTCTAGTTGTAGGTCCTTCTCGTTCTACTATGTGGGGGACACCACCTCACCTCAGCACGGCTTGATGAGCAGTGCTATGTCTGTACCCAGGATCTGAACCAGTGAAACCCTGGGCTGCTGAAGCGGAATGCACAAACTTAGCCACTTGGGCATGGGGCCGGCCCCACTCTTTTCGTTTTTTTGATAGTGTCCTTTGAAGCCCACTTAGTAATTCTGAGGAATTCCAGTCTATAATTGTTTGGCTTGTACTTTTGGCATTGTATCTAAGAAGTCATTGTCTAACCAAAGGTCATAAAGATTTACTCAATGTTTTCTTCTAAGTTTTTCAAAGTTTTATTTCTTACACTTAGGTCTCTGATTCATTTTAGGTTAATTTTTGTGTATGATGTGAGGTAGGGGTCCAAATTCATTCTTTTGTATGTAGCTATTCAGTTGTCCCAGCACCATTTGTTGAAAAGACTGTGCTTTCCCCATTAATAGTCTTGGTATCCTTATTGAAAATCAATTGACCATAAATGTAAAGGTTTACTTCTGGATTCTCAATTCTATTCCATTGATTGATATATCTATATTTGTGCCAGTACTACAGGGTTTTGTTTATTATTGTAGCTTTGTAGTTAGTTTTGAAAACAAGAAGTGTGAGTTCTCCAAATTTGTTCTTTTTCAAGATTGTTTTGGCTATTCTGAGTCACTTGCTGTGCAGAAAAGAGTTAACGTAGCAGGCTCAACTGCTTATGCTTAAAAAGGCCTTCCTTCAAGGTTGGCTCTTGGCGGGAAATTGGATTTTTTTTTTTTTTTTTTTGAGGAAGATTAGCCCTGAGCTAACATCTGCCGCCAATCCTCCTCTTTTTGCTGAGGAAGACTGGCCCTGAGCTCACATCCGTGCCCATCTTCCTCTACTTTATATGTGGGATGCCTGCCACAGCATGGCTTACCAAGCGGTGCCATGTCCACACCCAGGATCCGAACCGGCAAACCACCGGGCTGCCGAGAATTGGAACGTGTGCACTTAACCGCTGCGCCGCCCAGCCGGCCCCTGGAAACTGAATTTCTTATAAGAGTGGCTCACTATGCCTAAACTGTTTATACAAACAATATGGTTTAGGTGAACACCTGCTTTCCTTCTGGGAGTCTGAAGTTTGGGTACATACTAATCAGAGGCTGCCTACATATTGCATAGAGTGCCCCAATAAAAACCCTGGGCACTGAGTCCCTAATGAGCCTCCCTGTGGACTTTTCACACATGTTATCACAACTCATTGCTGGGGGAATTAAGCACATCCTGTGCAGCTCCACTGGGAGAAGATCCTTGGAAACTGGAGCCTTATTTCCTGTAACTTCGCCCTATGCACCTTTTCCCTTTGCAGATTTTCTTTTGTATGCTGTCATTGTAATAAATCACAGCCATGAGTACAACTCTGTGAGTCCTGCTGGTGAATCATCAAAACTGAGGGTGCTCTTGGGTATCCGCGACACACTTATCAATGTTAGCGTATTAATGTTAAGATCAGCTTCCCAAAAAGCCTTCTGAGATTTTTATAAGGATTGTAGTGAATTTATCTATTTGGGGGCTACTGCCATCCTAACAACATTGCCTTCCAATCCATGAACATGGATGTCTTTTCATTTATCTAGGTCCTCTTTAATTTCTTTCAGCAATGTTTTATAGTGTTTAGGTTAGAAGTCTTGTACTTTGTTAAATTTATTCCTAAGTAGTTTGTACTTTTTGATGCTACTGTAAACGGAGTGGTTTTCTTAATTTCATTTTCAGTTTGCTTATTGCAAACCAAATAGTTTTTGCTATATAGAAATACAATTGATTTTTATGTATTCATCTTATATCTTGCAACCTTGCTGAACTTGTTTATTAGCTCTAATAGTGTGTGTATATTCTTCAGAGTTTTCTATATATAACATCATGTCATCCGCAAATTGAAACCTTTCCACTCTGAATACCCTTCCTCCTTCCCTCCCTCCCTATCTTCCATTCTCACTCTTCCCTTCTTCCTTCCTCCCTCCCTCCTTTCCTTCCTTTCTTTTTTCCTAATTGCACTGGCTAGAACTTCCAGTACAAAGCTGAACAGAAGTGGCAAGAGCAAACACCCTTGTCTTGTTCCTGATCTTAAGGGTAAAATATTCAGATATCCATCATTAGGTATGAGCTTAGCTATGGAGGTTTTTTGTAGATGTGGGTGTTTTTTAATCATGCTGAGAAATTTCCTTTCTAATTCTAGCTTCTTTTGTGTTTTCATCATGAAAAGGTGTTGGATTTTGTTCAAAAATTTTTTCGGTATCGATTCAGATGATTGTGTGTTTTGGCTTTATTTTCTATTAATATGACTTATCACATTGATTTTCATATATTGAACCAATTTTGCATTCCTGGGATTAATTCCTGTTGGTCATGGTATATAATCCTTTGCTACTATTTTGTTGAGAATTTTTGTGTTTATATTCTTGAAACATTGGTTAGTAGTTTTCTTTCCTTTGATGTCCATGTCTGGTTTTGGTATCAGAGTAATAGTGGCCTCATAAAATATGTTGGGAAATGTTCCTTCTTTGATTTTTTTTGAAAAGTTTATGAAGAATTGCTATTCTTCCTTGCTTGGTAAAATTCATTAGATTATTTTTTAAAGATGTTAAAAATGAGAAATACCTTTTATATTTAGCCACATATTTACTTTTTCTCTACTATTCATTCTTTTTGTGTGGACCCACATTCCATTTGGTATCATGTTCCTTTTATATGAAGAGCTTACTTTAATATTTCTCATAGTTCAGGATTGCTTGTGATAAATTCTCTCAGCTTTTGTTTGTCTAAAAGTTTTGTGTTTTTTAAAAAATTTCAGCCTTTTTAGGATACCACATCATTGACCAGTGGCTTGCAGAGTTTCTGACAAAATTCTTCATCATTCTTATCTTTGTACTTCAGTATGTAATGTGTCTTTTTTGTGTGATTCTTTAATATTTTCTCTTTATCATTCTTTTTCAGCAGTTTGATCATGATCCACGTTGGTGTGGCTTTATGTTGGTGTGTGCTTTATGGCCCTATGGTTCATTGACCTTCTTGGATGTGTGGGTTCATAGCTTCATCAAATTTGGATAATTTTCCAGCTGTTATTCAGATATAGTTTCTGTTCTTCCCTCTCTCTCCTCTTGCTCCAGACTCAAAGTGCATATATACTAGACTACTTGATATATTTTCACAGGTAACTGATTCTCCATTCATTTTTTCCCAGTCATTTTTCTCTCTTTTTCATTTTGAATAGTTTCTATTGCTGTGTCTTCGTGTTCACTTATATTTTCTTCTGGTATTAGACAGTGAATGTTTCATTTCATGTATTTTATTTTTCCTCTGTAGAAGTTCCCTTTAGGTCTTTTTTATATCTTTCATTTCACTTTTCACCAGGTTTATGATTCCTTTTCATCTTGGAATATACTTACAATATTTATAAAAGCTGTTTTCAGGTCTGCTTCTTTCCTTATCTCTATCAAGTATGTTTCTATTGACTGATTTTTCTCCTGGTTATGGGTCACGTTTTCTTGCTTCTTTTTATGTCCAGTAAATTTTTATTGGATGCTTATTCTTAATTTTACACAGGTTAAGTGTTCATCTTACAGGTCCCTAGTTATTACTCTTTCATGGAATGTTATTCTTGCCTGGCCTCATGGGCTTTCACGTTATATGTGTTCAGATTATCATTCAGCTAAAGCCTCAAGGGGACCTCCATGCAGACTTACGGAGCTTTTGCTTTTGTTTGCATAGCTCTGTTCTTTCAGGACTCTGCCTTTGAAATTCTGGCTGCCTTGGCCTCCCTGAGCCCTGATGTCTGGCTCCTCAGCTCAGTGGGATCATTGCACTCTCTGTGTCCTTCAGCCTCTAGGCAATAAGCTGGGTGCTCATAGGGTTTGACTCATGTGTTTCCCTCCATTCAGTGATCAGTCCTGCAATGCCTGTGCCAACATCTGAAAATGTGGCTCATATATTTTGCCCAGTTTTTTAAGTTGCTTACAGTAGGAGAATATCCTGGAGTGTCTCCCTCCTGCACAGTCAGAAGCTCAAAGTCTCCACTGAGTCTGTGTGTGTTTAAGCTCTGCCAGCTGGCCCCCTTTACAGCTGCAGCTGCCTGTGCTTCCACCAGCAGTACCTGGGGAGTCCTGTGGGAGTGTGGACATGCTGAGCTGAACTCTGGAGCAGATACCCCTCTTCAGTCCCTGCTCTTTCTCCTTTGCCTTCTGCAGAAAAAGTGTGAGCGCTACTGGGCCCAAGAACAGGAGCCATTGCAGATTGGGCTTTTTTGCATCACCCTGGTGAGCTGGGGCACGGATGGGAACAGAGTTCATGGAGTCTTGGATGTTGTGGAAGGTTTCACAGAAGATTCTCAGAGTGGAAAGTGTGGGGGATCAGAATTGGCCACCCCAAAATGTGTCTCTTTGCCTTACCTTGATTATTTTTAAGAAAAAAAGACTGAAAGAAACTTTGACTTCCTCCCCTAACTGCCTAAAGGAATTTAAGATAAAGCCTGGTGGCCAGGACAGGCCATCAACATAGATAACTCTGGGTTCCAGGGAGCCTGGGAGGATCCTTGCTAAGCCCACTCTTATCAAAGTTCTATTTACCACATTTGCTTTTCCATCTCCATGTGAATTGCTTTCCTCCCCTTTGAGTCCCAAACCACTACCCCCAACACTCTCCTTTTTTGTTTAGCTAAAGACGCTATTTAAGGTGACAACTTTGGCCATTTTGGTGAGTTACTCAGCTTTCCTGGGTTTCTGCCATGTATACATGTTATAAAGCTTTGATTTTCTCCTGTTATTCTGCCTCATGTCAGTTTAATTCGTGGGCCAGCCGGAAAGACCAGAGGGTAGAGGATTTGTCTTCCTCCCTTACAAAAGCTTTTGGTTCAGGCCTGAAAGGATCAAGCTTCCCACATCCCCTCACCCTGCAGGGAGCTCTCTGCTACTCACAGGCAGACAGTCAGAACTCAACATATGCACTGCTTTTGCATTTTAACTAAGATCATGGTTTTATCTCTGTAATATCAATGTGCCTGGTTAGGTTCTTAAAATCCTTATTTCCTTACCATTTTAAAAGAACTCAGAGAAAATCTCTCACCTGAAGTCAATACATATAGTTGTTACTTAATACATACAAGAAAACTTTTATTTTAGAACAAAAGAAATCTTTTTCACTATAAATGAGCTTGTCTGAGTTTTTAATCATAGTTCTCTTTCTCCCCTCTGAAATGTTTCATTCACAAAAACTGTGGGGAAGTTTGGGCTAAATGAATATTTAAAAATGTGTTGTTTGTATTTGACTTTTAATCAGAAATACTTGTTTTCTATAAATGTGTCTTTTGGCCCTGGTGATCTTGTTCTCCCCTCTTCCTACCTGCCCCACATCTTCAGACCAGGGAGACACGGCTGAATGCAGACACCATGCTCAGGACCCTCCAAGTCACTTTCCAGAAGGTACTGAAAGGGGAGGAGGAGGCTCACAGACTGGAGAGCTGTTTCCTGTCTGTGTTCTCATCTGTAAAATGGGCAGTAATAATAGTACCTATCTCCTCAGTTATCAGTTGGATTTAAATGGAAGATGTTTGGAACTGGGCCTGACATGTAGTAGGTGTTCAATAAATGCTTTTCTTTCTTTTTTGATTCTTTGCCCCTATTTTCCTGTGTTTCAGGAATCCCGTCCGGTGTACCAGCTGCAGTATATGTCCTGGCCAGACAAAGGGGTCCCTGGCAATCCTGACCATGTGCTCGCCATGGTGGAGGCAGCTCGTCGCCTCCAGGGCTCTGGTCTCAGCCCCCTCTGTGTCCACTGCAGGTGTAGGAGACGGGCTTTATGGGCGTCTGGTGGGGACTGGGACAGAGAGGCAGGGAGGCCAGTGCAGGGCCTTGCAGTGACAGTGCCTTTTCCAGAAGCCCGAGGCCACACTTGCTCACGCGCCCTTGACTGACATTGTTAGCATTTGTTGAGTACAGACTGCCAGCTAGGGAGTAAGCACACAGTTGATGCTCAACAAATGTAAGCAATTAAAAAGTTTTTCCTTTCAATTATAATCTGGGGATTCTGATTATCAAAAGGTGATGCAAGGGATCCCCTAGTAGGGTCCTCATCCCCAATTCTAAATGCCCTGTTTAGAAGGGGTTGTGGGCAGACCCTGACCGAGCTTGCTGATTCTCCCTTTTCAGCGCGGGCTGTGGGCGAACAGGCGTCCTGTGCACAGTGGATTATGTGAGGCAGCTGCTCCTGACCCAGGTATGAAGAGGGCACGTGTGCAGTGTGGGTCCCATGCCCACGAGGTCCTGCTCATGTTCCCTGTCTTTCTGACCCAGATGATTCCACCTAACTTCAGCCTCTTCGACGTTGTTCTTGAGATGCGGAAGCAGCGGCCTGCGGCTGTACAGACAGAGGTGCGAGCCTCAGCCTCCTTATTGCAAGAACAAGTCCCTCCTCCTCTTGTCTGCCCTTCCTGACGACCCCTCTTCCCCCACCAGGAGCAGTACAAGTTCCTGTACCACACGGTGGCTCAGATGTTCTTCTCAGCACTGCGGAACTCTAGCCCCCATTACCAGAACCTAAAGGAGGTACCAAGGTCCCCTTCCTACTCTCTTCCTGTCCACCATCAACACCTTCAGAGACCAGGACCCAGAGCAGAAGTCTATGACCACCACTATCACAGTATCCAGCCCCTGGATTCCTTCTGGAAGCACGGACTGACTCACTCTGATATCTACCTTTGTCTTCCTCTTTGCTCCCTTATCAGACTGTCCCCACTGAGCTCACTTCACAGAGCCCATTGTGACCCCCATCATGGGCCTGGCCAGTTCCCCCCAAAACTCATGCCCTTCCCCTTCTGTCTTTCCCCAGAATCGTGCCCCACTCTTCGATGATGCCCTCTCCCTCCGGAGTTCCCAGACCCTTCCTGCCACACCCCGCCTACCTGGGGGGGTCCTCAGGTACCCAGCTCCCTCCTCTCATTCTTCCCTTTCCAATTGCTCATGCTCAGAAGCTAACCTTTTTCTCACCCTTGAAATACCAGCCCCTTCATTGCTGTTCAGTTCATCAAATATTCACTGGCCTTTTGTTTGAATTCAGCTCTGGGAACCTGCCCCAAGATGACTCTTTAACCCCAGACATCCCGCTGCCTCTGCCTCGAAGGCTAGTCCTACATTCCGATGTTAGCGCTTTCCTTGCCCCCCAGTCATAAATTCAGCAAATATTTCTTGATGCCGCGCACTTGTCAGGCCTCAGGTTGGGTGCTGCGGACACGGAACTGACTCTCCTTTGCGGCAGAGATTTCACCCCCTCATCCTTGAGACTAGCTCTCCATTTTGAGGCTATCCCTTCCTCCCCTTTCGATGCCACTTCCTCACTCACTTACTCAATAAACAATTACACAGAAATGACCACCCCTCAATACCAATGCTCTGCCCCGTTCACCTACCGAGCTGGCCTCTGACCTCTTTCATCTCCTTAACTTGCTGGGCGCTAGGGACAGAGAAACCAGATCCCCGAACCCAGAGACCCCTCCTCCTCTCTGAGAGCCGCCCGCCTCCTCCCTCCTTAACTGGGGAAGGAAGCCTGTGGTTTGCGCGCTGAGCACGCTGCCCACCCCCTGCCTCCCTCCCTCCCTCGGCGCCGCCGTTTCACTTCCTCCCCGCCCTCCCCACCGCAGGAGCATCTCGGTACCCGGGCCCCCGGCCCTCGCCATGGCCGACACGTACGCGGTGGTGCAGAAGCGCGGGGCGCTGGCGGGCCCCGGGCCGGGGTCGGGGGCGCGCGGCACGGAGGAGGCGCCGCTCTACAGCCAGGTGGCGCCGCGCGCCCGGCGGCCCCAGGCGCCCGCGGAGGACGCGCGGGGGGCGCCGCCGAGCCGCGGTGAGTTGAGGCCGGGTGGGGCGCGGGGCTGGGGGGTCCGGCGCCCACCTGCTCCCGCTGGGGTCGGGAAGGCCCTGGCGGCCACGAGGACCCCCGCCCACAGGTGTGGCTTGGTCATGCCCTGAGGCGGACGTCCGTGCGTCCCTAGCCACGCCTCTGGGACTGTCGCCCGCGGTGTGGTCACGCCCGGAAGTGTCACAGGCGGACTCGCGGGGCCGGGCCGGGTGGGCTTCGCTGTGGAGGTCTCGCTCTGGGCCCGCCACGCCCACCTCGGCGGGCTCCCGGAGGAGGCGTCTCCGCCCGGATCGGGGCCGGCGCTCGGCGGGGCGGCCTGAGCTGATTCGTGGGGTGGTTTCCTGCTCGCAGCTCCTGCTGACCGAAGCGCTGCTGCGCCTGGCGCCTACGAGGACGTGGCGGATGGAGCTCAGACCGGTGGGCTAGGTAAGTCCCCCAAAGGCTGGGTCGCTGGGACTCTGCAGCTTTGACTGAATCCCAGAGTTTGGGGTTTAGGCATGGCGGCATGGGACCCATGCCCTCAGAGTCCTGTGGGTGTGGCTGCAGTAAACCAGGAGGGTCTGGAGGCTTGAGGATGGCCTTCCACAGTTTGCCTACCTCTCCACGTCTCAGCTTCTCCGTAAGACCCATGGTTCCCCTCCTTTCTCAGGCTTCAACCTACGCATTGGAAGGCCTAAAGGACCCCGGGACCCCCCTGTGGAGTGGACCCGGGTGTGAGTGCTGCGCCCCCGCCTGCCTGTTGCTCCCCATGGGCACTTGGACAGCTGACGGCCATGCTCTGCTGCGTGGGAATGCTGAACCTGGATCAAAATAAAAGTTTCTCAGAGTGGGAAATGTGGGGGCTTTGTCCCGGTGATCATAGCGTTCAAGGTTTGGAGCGTGGGAGTAGTTGGGAAATAATGGCTGGTGAGATGGCATTGAGCAGATTCAAGAATAAACATCAGGAGTGGGCCCAACCTTAAAGGGCTGGGCAGGACCCCCCAGTTGTGAAGGGGAGGATGGACAGGTGGGCTTCTGGAGACTTCGCGGTTCACCACATAATACAGTAGTTTATCTCAGTATCTGAGCCTCCCACACTCAGACGCTCAGACACAGAGAGATGGATGGTCCCTGAGAAAGAATGGTGGACCACCCCCCACCATTAAGACAGATCCAAGCCAGGCATAAAAACAGCCAACCAGACTGATTTCACAGATAGGTAGAAAGCTCACCAGATGGCCAGACAGACATATGGACCCCCAACCTGAGCAGGCAGCTAGCCATACCCCTAGACAGACCTTCAGAGGGACAGTCCACAGCTGGTTGGATGGACCTCTAGCCATAGAGAAAGACCAACCAACAGCCTGACAGACCGCTTCCAGCAAGAGAGGCCACCAAAAAGACAGGGCCCCTCCCCCAGCTACATAACCAGACAGACACCAGCCAGATGGACGTCTACCTAGCTGGACAAACTCCCAAACAGATATAAACAGATCCCTAGCTAAACAGATACAGACATTCTCTCAGCTAGACAGACCCCTCAGTTACACAGACCCACCCCCAGGTGGGCAAACTGACAGACCTTCTTGTCAGACAGACTTCCAGCTAGCCAGGTGGACTCAGTCAGACAGATACCAGGCCACACAGACAGACCCTTAATTGCACAGACATCCTAACCTACCGGCCCAACTCCCAACCAGGCAGATAGGTAGACTTCCAGACAGGTGGACAGACCCCACCAACTACACAGAACCCACATTTTGGCAGACAAATTGATGCATCTCCTGCTGAGAAGGTAGCCAGGTGGGCCCCCACTATCCGGGACCATCTCCTAGCTGGGCATACACTGCATATCAGCAGATCCTTGAGATAGACAGACTCCCTGCTACCCAGATGGACCCCCAGCCCCTCAAATAGGTTGGACTCGTTGGATGGTTGAACCCCTAGTTGGACAGATGGACTCCCAGCCGGACAGTGAGACACTATTCTCAGCTGGAGAGATAGGTGGACCCCAAGCCAACTGGCTAGCTAGATCCCAAGCTGGATGGACAGATCCTAAACCAGATAAAGTAGTGGGCCCCCATCAGGACAGATGAATGAACCCCCAGCAAGACAGACCCCCAGCCAGAGAGAGAGAAAGACCTTCAACCAGACTGACCCCTAGCTGTTCACATAGGCCCCTGGCCAGAGAGTCCCCCAACCTTGGAGCTGGACAGCAGATGCACACAGACTACCAGCTTGACAGACAAATCTGCAGCCAGTGAGACAGACCTCTAGCCTCACAGATTGTCTGACCAGACTGACAGACCAGCCCCTAGCCAGACAGACTGATGAACCTCCAAGTAGAGAGACTCAGCTGGAAAAAGGGACTCCAGACAGACTGACTCCCAGCTTGATAAGACCCTCAGACAAGCCCCTGGCTTGACAGACGTGCAGAGCCCCGGTCAGAAAGACAACAGCCAGACAGATCCCCATCTAAACAGGTAGACACTCAGCCAGGAAAATCTCCAGCTGGACAGACAGACAGATGGACTACCCAGCCAGAAAACAGTCCCCCATCCAGACAGACCTTCAAACTGGCCAGAACTCCAGGGAGACAGAAAGACGAGTAAATTTGATGCTCCAAAACCCTGATCCTGCTCTGTGAGCTTCCCGCTCAGTGTGGTCTTCCTGACTGTGTGACATTGTCAGGTTCATCGAGGCGGACTCCCAGCCATCCCTCCCCAAGACGGCACCCTCCCCAGGCTGCTGGAGAGCTGTTCTGTGTCTGTGATGAGCATGGACCACCAAGGCCTCTACCTGCCACCTGCCCAGCCAGGCCCACATCCCTTATACGCTTACTGTGGGGACCAGCGAAGGAGAGAATGTGAAGACTTAGTTCAGGAGTCTGCCTTGTGCCCAGTAAATGTTAGCCCATAATTAGCTCTGGGTCCCTGCGTTTAATATAGGTCCTGTCACAAGTCGTTTGCCCTTTGAATGTTGGTGAAAGGAGGATGAAACATGCCTTCCTTGACCACAACAGTGCTTGCTGGCACTGCCTTAATTTGTCAAGTGCTGTAAGGTTTCTGCACACGAGGCAGCTCAACCAGCAGAAACCAGGAATTGAAGAGAAATGTAGGGATTCCCCAGGTGAACGGGGAACAGGAAGTCAGCAACACCTAGAGTCCAACCTTTCAGGTGAGAGTTGGAGCTGACCTTGATGGAAGGAGGCAGGAAGCAGGCCCCGGCTGCCGGTAGCAGAGGAGTGTCCGGGTGTCATTTAGACCATAAACCAATCTCAAAGCCAGAAGTATTAAGTTCATTTGGTTCCTGAGACTAGAAGGGGAAAAGCAGCAGTGTCTCAGAGGAAAAGGGGCCATGGCAGAAGGAAGAGGTGTGTCTCCTCCTGGGGGAAGGTAAACCACACCCAGCTAGAACATGGGTCTCCTGGGGTCTGTGCTGAGGCTGGGGCCCACTCAGCTTAGTTTCCCGTCAGAAAACATGACTGGGGGGCTGCAGTAGGCAGACCCAGGTAAGATTCTTTAGTGATTAGATTTGAGGCCAAGCTATTTGCAGTTCTTAGCTGTGCATTCCAGTCAGAATGAAGAGAACAGCGCCCCTGTGACTAGCAGGAAGACGCCCAGCAGCACAGAGAAATCCACAGGCTTGCAAGAGCACGCAGGAGAGCACTGGGCCACGCTCTTACATGTTTTATCTCGTTTAATTGGTAAAACAATATTTGTAAGTAGGTACTGACACTGCACCCATTTTACAGATGAAAAAGAGGCTCAGAGAAAACAGCTGTTAGTTTGAGATTCAAACCCAGAGCTAGGTCTCAGTGTTCAGTGGTACAGAATATATGGCTCTGAGCGAGAGGCCCTAAATCATTAAGTGATTACAAGCAGCTATCACTGACCAGGTGCTTGGTGCACACGTGGCCTGAGCCATCAGTCTTCAGAGCAACCCCGCGGTAGAGGTGACTTTGTTGTCCCCACTTTGCAGAGGCCAGTGATAACTGTAATGAGCGCAGCGTCATTTAGTGTTTCTTTGAACTAAGTTGGTCTGTATCATGGTGGGTAACAGCTTGGACTCAGTCGCTTACTAGTTTTGTGATCTTGAGCAAGTTTCTTAATTTCCCTCTGGTTCAGATTCCTAGTCTGTCAAATGGGGACAGTAAAGTTGCCTTTATTATAGGATTGCCACGTATATGGTTATTCAGAGCAAGAGTGAATCTGGATTTTTACAATAGACATAGAAAGGAAGATTTCTCATTTTTTCAGGGATTATCTCCAGAATAACAGATGTCTATTGAGTTGGAATGATAACATCAAAAGCTCTGCCTAAAACATAAATAAATGAAAGTAAGTTTGATTGTCCATTCTGCTGCGTAAAGCCCAATGGCCCTAGTCTTTGATAACGGTTGCATTTTAAATCAATGGACAGAAAAATGATTTGTTCAATATAGGTTATTAGGATAATTAAGTAGTCATTTAGGAAAAAAGAAGTTTGAGCCATACATCAGAGCTTCCAGCAGGATGAATTCCAAATGCATCAAAGATTTAAGTGTAAAATAGTAAACCATAAAAGTATTAGAAGAAGTTATGGGAAAATTTCTTCATAATCTTGGACTACAGCAGTCCTTGCTAACTATGGAAAGACAAGTCGGAAACCCAAAGAAATACTGATTCATTTTAATGCATAAAAATATTTCAACCTCACAAAAATCACTGTAAGCATAGTCAGAAAATTAATGACAAACTTTAAAAAATTTACAACTGAGATCAAACAAAAGGCTAATTTTCTGAGATGTAAAAAGTTCCTTGGAATCAATAAGTAAAGGCCGAAAACTCAAAAAAAAAAAAAAAAGTGCAAAGATGCCCTATCTCATGTGTAATAAAAAACATGAAAATTAGAATTATACTGAGAGCGCCATTTCACTTACATTAGCAAAGATCAAAAAGTTTAATGACAGTGTGTTGGCTAAGATGTGAGGCAACAAATATAAAGAGTCAGTGGGTGTATAAATTCATACAACGTCTGTGGCGAGCAGTTTAACAATATCTATTAAAGTTAAAAAAGTACATATTCGCTGAGCTACAAAGTTCATTTCTAGGCATTTATCATACATGGGTACTCACAGAACTCCAGATGACTCTTCCAACAGGTTATTCACTGTGGCGCTGTCTGTAGTAGCGGAAGAGTGGGAATACTTCAATAAAATGTTCTCAGTAGGGTCCTGAGTAAATAAATGCTGTGGTGGACTATTAGACAGCTATTAAAAACAAAGGGAGGGTGAGGGGAACACCTCTATGCACTGGTGTGGACCAGTCTCCAAATCATGTTGTAAAATGAAAAAAATAAAACAGTATATTAACTTAGGCTAGAAAAAGAAAAATATTTTTATATGAACATACATAAACATGTTTTTTCCTTGGATACCTGTAAAGTATTTTTGAAAAGAAGCACAAGAAATTTGGCAGAGGACGGAAGGTCTGGGGACCCTGTTCTCTGCAGCCCGTGAACTGCTCCAGCCACCCTGCGTTTGTTTCACTTCCTCAGGCCTTCCATGCTCAGGCGTTTGTTTGTTGTCCCATCTCCAGAGCCTCGAGTGACCATCTCTGGCCCTTGTGTGCACCCAGGTCCTTGCCAGCACTGCTGTGGTGCCCTGGGGTCCCACATCCAGCACTGTCCCGCCCTATTCTGAGTGAGGGCTGGCCTTCTGCTTCCACCTGGCCATGGCCACAATCTTCTTCGACTGGAAGTGCCTTGAAGTGAACTGCCCCCACTTCTGCCCTGGGAGCCTTCGGTCAGCAAATGACAGGGTGATCTGTAAATACCTAGCCGCTGCCCCTCAGCAGGACAACTCTGAGGTGTGTATTT